CTATGGTATGAATGTGTGTATCACCATGAACTTGTACCAGACAGAAAGCAGCTTTCCTCTGAAGTATTAAAAGTATTTTCTGTGCCTGCTTTTTTAATCTTCTTAACAGCAGTATAATTATGCTTGATTATCTCTATACAATAAATCCCTATTTTTACAGTGAAAAGACATCTATTTGGGATCAAACAATAATGTTACATATTATATATCTTGGACATAAGTGCAAAGTACTGCAAGGACTTTTCCCATGTTGAAGTAGGACTGTTCTGACAACGTTGTTTTACTGGTCAGACTCTGGATAACAGTTTTTGATTAGGAACCTGTAATTTCTCTTTGAGTGTCATATATGTTCTGTTTATTTTTAGCACCTATTTTGTGCTGTCATAACCTCTGAGCTTTCAACGTGCCACAGAGGCTTGTGTTGATAGTAACTGCTGTGTAGAATGGAGAGGCTCGAAATACTTGATATACTCCTGATTTGAGTTTAGTTCTGATGGTAGTTGGTGCTAGAAGCTTCTGGGCAAAGTTGCAGAGAAACCAAATGTAATAAACTACTGAAGGGAAATACATTTAATTCTGAAATATGAATATTTATATGATGCTTGGCACCAAGAAAGCTTTTTGTCTTGGAAAGGAGATGCATTTTGTTTTGACTTCCTCTTTTTAGCTGTAGGTGAAGAGTAGTCTGGAATGAATGGGATTGATTTTCCTCGTTTGTGTTTTTTCTCATTTTTGCTGTTTCTCTATATGGTATGAGCTAACTTAACAAAAATATTAGTAACACTGCAGTAAACGTGATCCCCAGTGTAATGCTTAATGTCAGCATTTAGACAACTGTGGTGTTGCTTCACTGAGATGAGTGGTGAAATTGGGCACATCTGAGGTAACACTCTGGATTGCACTACAGTGCTCTTGACCTTTTTGTAACTGCTTCTGAAGCTTGCATGTTACATTAAACATATGGCTGGTTTTATACCTGGTTCCTGCAGATAACACTGGAGCTGTTGTAGGTGTGCTTTCAACTTCATGAAATCAGTAATGAAAGTGGAAAGAAAAGTGTAATTTTATCTCTGAAGTGGCACTCATAGCCTTCAAGCTAGTTGAAGGGCACCTTCAGTAGTGTTTCACAAACTGTTTTTGGAGGAACCAGGTCCTATTTGCTCACACAAACCTGTTCCAAGTGATATGGTATATCTGAAACCATTTTCTGGTAACTTCTGCGCCGATGTTCTGGGTAAAGGTGGTATTTTTACCTGGGTACTCATAGATACTGTAGTATCTTAAAATACATATGCGTACGCTTAAATACCTGTAGAGGAGGTGGAGGGAGAGAGGGAATACTATGCATATTACGGAACAGCAAAGACAGACATGGAAACACATCTGATTGATTACAGTCAGACTCCTGTCAGAACAACTCTGTTGTTCTGTTGTCACTTGGTAAAGTACAAATGGATTTCTGCAGACACTTTAGGGAGTGTCCTAAATGCTGCCTTGTCTAGGAGATGAAAGTGGATTTGAATCACTGTTTACCGTATCTGCTTACATTTACCCTAGATAATGGTTTTTAATTCCCTTTTTTAACTCTTATTACAGCTGCCAGATACTGCAGCATGTTAATTGAAGAAGGTGGTTTACAGCATTTATACAACATCAAGGAAAACGTCCAGACTGATCCACATGTCCAAAGAATTGCTATTGCCATCCTAGATAGTTTGGAAAAACACATTATGCGTCATGGGAGACCACCGCCCTGTAGAAAACAACAACAGAATAAACCAAACTGAATGCTGCAGGTATAGGAGTGTAAAGTATTGTCTCTGTAATAATCCTTTCTGATGTGTGTGTAGTTGGAGTAACTTGTAACATAGTGGTCACCATTAAAGTGATTTGCCAATAATTGTGGTACCCAGAGCCATGTACGGTAACCGTTGGTGAACGTCAACTTTAATGGCAACCGCATATGCAACATGTAAAGGGTCACTGCTTGAGCTGGTCACACCTGTAGGATTACTGCTGCCTACAAAGACAGGGACTTCCACAGATCAAGATGCACATCTGAAAAAAAGACTTACAGGAATATCTTGTTTTGTGACCTCTGGGAGAGAAAGTTGTTTCATCCCTATGATTGCTCTTCATAACACTGTTTACCAGTTTGGTGTTTGAATAGAACTGTGTGTGGTTGTTAGATTCAACACTTCTTACACATTAAAACAAAAGTACATGCATGCAGGTTACAAGAGACTTCTAACTAAGGTGACCAAAATGTCCATTGTCTCATAACCCTTCTAAACACAAATGGGGTCTTCAACTTCCTTTTCCTTTTGCCTGCAACCTGTGTTCTTTTGTTTTCCTTACTGCTACAAGAATGCCTCTTCGCAGTTCGGCTTTCCTGAGCTCTCCCTACTCTTACTAAGGTGAGGATCGGCATTGTATTAGGGAAAGGGGAAACCTGCTAAAGTAAAGCAATAGAAACAGGATTAAAATGAGACAATACTGAAAGGATGAGGTAAGCTTGAGATTTTAAATTTGATAACAAGAAGGGTGTTTTGTTGTTGTTTGACTGCTTTTGGTTGTGTGTGATATCTTTTTGTTTTCAGAATACTGGTAGGGA